GTCGACGGATTTCATCATTGTTGGGATGCCGCTTGATGGCGATTCTTATCTGGTCAAGCTTTGTGGTATTCTTCTTCTCGGCTGCGACTTGCGCAGATCTCTCGGAAAGGAACTCCAAGAAGAGTGGCGCAGAGCAGTTTGTTGATGTCTCTATCGCGCTTCACGGTCCTCTTAGCACGGACAGTTGGGAAATCAGGCCGGATGGAAATCAAGTCTTATTCGGCCAAGAACCAGAGAGTAACATGGCATTATTCTTAAGATTGTTGTAAAAATAGAGGGTTGGAGAAGATGAAAATATAAGAACAAGAATATCTTAGCTTGCAAGCACTATCCTCAAGATAATTCTGCCTCTGAGAGTACGAAAGTCGGTGCGATAGACTCTAACAGCTATCTTTCCATGATGCAACACATCTTCCTCTTTAGTCCGCACAGAATAAGATGTAAGAATTTTCTAATGTGGGCTTCATTAATTGAGATTAACTATATTAGTTTGGTCTAATAAATGTGAGATATATGGGTTCTTAATAAGTCTAATATGGGGCTGGCTAGTGTAGACCGAGTACGGCTTGGCCCGTAATGAAAGGGCCTGTGGTCGAAAACTCTATAAATAGCGCTCAAGTCCCTCCTCTAACCTGATAATGCACAATTTGACTAGATGTAGAGAGGAATTTCTTCTCGTGAGTGGCAATCTCATTAGGCTACTGTACCAACGAAGGGTATAAGGGAGAAGCACTTGAGTTCGTGTTTGGAAACCGTCGTCAATTCCGCGTCAAGTTCAATGGGTTCCAAATCAGGTGCGCGAATGTATAACTTCTCCATGTACGTGTTTCGATTTCTATTTATGGTGATCCTGGATGTGCCATTTTCGTAGCCGACATAAGAGATGTCCGCACAGAATAAGAGAAGAGTAACAACAACGTCATACGCAAAAACCTAGCTAATAAATGAAAAGAAAAGAGAGAATTTCTTATTTTTGCTATGTTTCTATTGTGATTTGGAAATTCTTTTTCTAGGAATTAATAAAGAAGTAAATCAAATCAACGTTATAAAACCGTTACAAATTGATTGCGGTCAGAGTTTCCATTAAAGCTGTCACAAAATAATTGCTTTAAATAATTCAAAACCGTTTGAAATAACCAGCAAGTGTTGCACGTCTGGTGATGCGAAGCGGCAGTTGGGCGTGTGTATGCGTGCAAGCTTTCTCATGATTGTGCAAGCGCGAGAAGCGCGTAACGAGAGGATTGCAGAGCGTAGGAGTTGAATCCCGTATCTGTGATACTAATATCCCCAATCCCCAAAATTCTTTATTAACAGGGCAGCATGGCTATTGGCCCAGCGGGTATCGCGAAGGAGATGGAAGACCACTTTCTTGACTTTTTCTCCCCCTTTTTGTTGTGCTTTTTCTCTTTTTGAGCGTGCAAGGAGTCCACTTTTATAAGTGGGATGGCCTGTGGGTTCTTGAGAGAAAGCAGACCTTCTTTCCTCCCGTGGATGCTTAGAAATATCATACTTTTTGTCCTTGTCCTCACTTTCGTATACGCGTAAACCCACGACCCCTTCTTTCCAATTCTAAGATAAGCATTATCCTGTCCTTAGAATGGAACTTTTAAATCAAAGAATATGGCCGAATATATCTTTCATTCAACTCCCAGTATTTCCTTCGTCCTTCCTTCTTCCTTAGCCTCTTTTCGGCCGAAAATTTGATTCTAATAAATCTTCATTGTTCCAAATCTCAATCATCTTTTCCTAATTCGGCACACCCATGTGCATGGCACGTGAAATTTTCGGCCATTTAAAAGGAAACACATGGGCTTGGCCGACTTTTATACTCCAACCGGCTTTGTCCAATTGATTCGCTAAAGCTCGGAACCTTCCCGCACCAGTCCGATCAGAATGCAATTGTATGGGCTTTATATTATTAATGGTAATGCTCCAAACGTCTATATGCAATTTAATTAACCTTTTTTGTTTGGGAACCGGAGTCGGTCTCTAATTTTCTATATAATGAATAATTAAATGGGTTGCTAAAATTTAGGTGTCAACAAAAACCCATGTTGAACATCACGTTTAGTAATCCATTAGCCTTCCCCAATTTAACTAACCTTTTTTGTTTAGGAACCGGAGTCGGTCTCTAATTTTCTATATAATGAATAATTAAATGGGTTGCTAAAATTTAGATGTCAACAAAAACCCATGTTGAACATCACGTTTAGTAATCCATTAGCCTTCGCCCACCTCAGGGAAGGTCGCAACATATATAATCACTTTTTTGAAAATTTAAATAAATTCCAAACTAAATTTGCTCTACTAGTGCTTCAAGAGCACGGAGACTTTCACAGTGCACCAAGTGAACTGTGCGATGTTACAACGTGTCGCCGTAATCAAGTAAGAGAATATCGTTGAAGTTGTTTTACGATGTTTTGAGAGTAACTAAACCTAAAAGAGTTTCAAGAGACGCAGTTAACGCAATGCTCATCTAAAGATGGAAAAATACTAAATGCTCCTAGAGCAAATCCTCTTGGTACTTCCGCAGCAACGAGAACACATCCATTTCAAATTTTGACCGGCTCTTTAGAATAGAGCTTTTATGTTTATGAAATTGATGGTTTTGATGACTATGAGAAGGAGAACAGATAAAAAAATTGGCCTATGAGAAGGAGATAATATTATTTTAAAAATAAGAGAATTTTCTGTTAACATATTTACATAGTTATCGATATTAGATCTATTTAGTAATTGCTAAAGTAATAAATAGTAAAATTAACTCTACCCAAATGAGAAAATAAATCAAACCTATAAGTTCACGTGAAATTGACTTCATTATGCTTGATACAGATGTGATATATAGCAAAATTGGCTTGGAAGGCATTCAGCCAGAATTGCCTTTAGAAAGGAAGCCTTAGACCATATACAGCATCAACAGCAGATCCACTTGGTATTGAAAAAGTTAGTCAAATTATGAGTGCTACAACCACAAAGTCTGAGCAAAAAGACAGTGGCTGGCCTTCATTTTTCTTCCCTACAATCATTCACTCTGACCAAGAAAATGACAGAAACAGAGTAACCAAGCTTGTTATATATGCCTCAGGTCGATCATTAACCTAGAAAACGAAAGAAAGAGAGAAAGAATCCTGGGTTCACCAAAACTAGAGAAACTGGTGCATCTTCTAGCTTCCTTTGCGTTTTTCACAGTGCTTTTAGTCGTTATTCTACAAGGTTCAATTCCTGCTTATGCCTCCACACTTGAAGCACAAGCGCTTCTTAAATGGAAATCCAGCCTTCAAAACCAAAAGCAATCGACCTCTTCTCTATCTACATGGACTCTCCCTTCTCAAAATGTCACCGACCCCGACGTTATGGCGGCGAGCCCGTGCAGTTGGTACGACATCTCGTGTAACCTAGCTGAGAGAGTGATTGCAATCAATCTCACCAGTTCGAACATTACAGGTATGCTCACTGACTTTCCATTCTCGTCTTTGCCGTGTCTTACCTATTTAAACTAGTCCATGAATGAACTCTTCGGCGGTATTCCGCCTCAAGTCAGTTTTTTAACCAATCTCACCTACCTTGACCTCTACACCAATCGACTATCCGGGATAATACCGCGGAAGATTGGTGAGCTCACGAAGCTCGAGGTGCTTCACCTTTTTGAAAACGAGTTGAATGGCTCTATTCCTGATGAAATAGGTCAGTTGTGTTTGCTGAACGAGCTTGTCTTGTACTCAAACCAGTTGGATGGATCTCTTCCTTCTTCCATGTGTAACTTGAGCAGCCTCACTTGGCTAGCCATCACAAACAATTCATTTTCCGGTTCTATCCCTCTCGAAATGGGGAATTTGACAAACTCGGAGAAACTTTCCATGTCTATGAACTTCCTCACAGGGCCAATTCCTCCCGTTTTTGGGAAATTGATGAAACTAACACGATTGCACGTATTTCAAAATGAACTTACTGGTTCCATCCCACCGGAGATTGCACGTATTTCAAAATGAACTTACTGGTTCCATCCCACCGGAGTTAGGGAACTTGAAACTTCTCCGTAGTCTTGGCTTACACTACAATTATCTCACCGGTTCAATCCCCTCAACATTAGGCAATTTGACAGAGATTACCTTCTTTTATCAATATGCCAACCGGCTTTCTGGTAACATTCCTGATGAGTTAGGAAATCTCCGAGCTATGATCGAGTTGGATCTGAGCGAAAATCAGTTCACCGGTTCAATTCCCTCAACATTAGGCAATTGAAGAGAGCTTACCATTTTTTTTATCTATATGGGAACCAACTTTTTGGCAACATTCCTTGTGAGTTAGGAAATCTCTGGGCTATGCTCCACTTGGATCTGAGCGAAAATCAGCTCACCGGTCCAATTCCTTTTTCTTTCGGTAATCTGACTCACCTAGTCAATTTATCCCTTAGTAACAATCAACTTTCAGGACGGTGGCCAACGGAAGGTTTCTCAATTACATCATTGTCAATAATTGGTTTGTCCAACAACAAATTTGAAGGCCCACTTCCACTTCCATCACCGTCCACATATTACTATGCGATCGCAGATAATAAAATAGAGGGGAAGATCTCCTCTTCGATATGTATCGCCACCAACCTCTCATTCCTCATATTGTCTAATAATAGCTTAATCGGTAGCCTATCTGAGTGCTTATCAAATTGTAGCATTGGTTTTTCGGTTTTGAACTTGCGAATGAACCGCCTTTTGGGCACCATCCCCAGAAGATTTTCACTACGAAGTAGCTTGAAAACTCTTGACTTAAGTCAAAATCAATTCGAAGGCACATTGCCACAATCCCTTGTCAATTGCAAAAACGTGGAAGTTCAAGAATTTTGCAACAATAAGATAGAGGATAATTTCCCGGCATGGCTTGGAACACTACCAGAGCTAAAAATTATTATTTTGAGGTCCAACAAATTCAAGGGTCGTTTGGATTTTCCAAGGGTAGCTCATATCTTTCCCAAGTTGCGCAGTTTGGACCTCTCAAACAACTTCGCTGGTCCTTTACCAGACAATTTGATAGCGAAACTTCAGGGGATGATGAGTGCACAAATTGGGAAAGAGCCGCAAGACAAATCATTGTACATGAGTCGGACGTATGGTTTCATGACCTATGAGGATTCAGTGAAAGTGATCATGAAAGGAAACGAGATTCAACTAGTGAGGTTCTTGACCATCTTCACAACCTTCGATTTATCACTCAACTCTCTTGAAGGAAACATCCCGGATGTTATTGGACATCTCCATTCTCTCATAGGGCTCAACCTTTCACACAATCACCTCATGGGTTCCATTCCTCCAACCCTTAGAAACTTGACTAATCTTGAATTGCTAGATTTATCTTCAAACAAGCTTAGTGGGAGGATTCCTAGAGAACTGGGAGATTTGACATTCCTCAAGTGTTTGGATCTCTCAAACAACCATCTCATAGGCCGCATAACTCAAGACAAGCAACTAAGCACATTCATGAGCGACTCATTTCGTGGAAATTTGGGCCTATATGGAACCCCATTACAAAACACAAGCCATGATGATGCTCAACCTCCTCCGCCACCATCGTCGTTCTTCTAGGAGGATGGTACAAAAGAGTAGGCAAGGTGGTTTAATAGGAAAGCAGTGGGAATAGGCTATGCTTCCGAAATCGTGATTGGAATCTCTATATCATACATTTCAAGGGAAACTGGAAGATCCAAATGGCTTGCGAGAAAAGTGAGAAGGATGGAGAGAAGAGGAGCCAAATGGATGAAGAAGCCAAAACGGAAGGTGATCAAATTTCATGGAGGCTGATGAAATTGTTGGGAAGTGGTCCCTTTGAACTATGTGCAATGTAGATCAAGGAATACAACTTTTTTGGGATTGAAATGCAATTTTGCATATGGATGCTCGTGTTTATTTTGTTATCATCTTCTTCTTTAATTGCGATTTCTGTATCGGATCAATTATCTAAATAAACATGAAAGAGATCTTTCAAAAACTCGCATTGCATCATTAACCCCCTATATGTCCTTTTTCTTGTTCGGTGCACGCCATGCTTTTATCTCCATGGGAAAGAAAGAAAGATGAAGAGCTGTCGAAGCCTTTTCTTTAATTGAATGTGCCATTGGACATATGTCCTTAAGGATCACTAATTCTTTCATAGTTCCACTCCAAATTCCTGTTGAAGTTGAAGGTCAGTAGTAGATTGTTGACTTGTACCTATCATATTCGTCGGGAGAAGAATAATAGAAGTGCCAAAAGTTGTGTACGGCGATCACTTTAGAGTCAAAAGTTTTTTTTGAATCACTGTAGTGTCAAATCGGAGAAAAAACAATCACTTAAGTGCCAATTCCGGCCAAATTAATTGCGTTGCATTTATAATTAAAAATTTTAATATGACTTGGCATATTTTTTTTAAAAATCCAATCCACGCGAACATCCAAAACGACAACGCACAATCCAACTAGCACTGAAGTGATTATTTTTTAACAATGACTAGCACTGAAGTGATCACTTTAAATAAAATTTGGCACTCAAACGATCACTATTTATAACTTTTAGATGATTTCATTTATGGGTTGTATGCTGACTGGGCATGCACGCGAGCCACTTAGACTAAGAAATTAATAAAATATCGCCATGTTGGATTTTCGGCCATCCAAATCGTTCTTTTTAAAAAGTGACACTTAAGTGATTCGAAAAAACTTTTGACACTTCTAGTGTTTTTCTTCCCATATTCGTCTGCAATGATATAAAGGGGTACTACAGGTTCAAAACTTCAAAGCATCTTTGAAGTTTAGATTCAAAGTAATCTTATTGCAAAATTCTAAGGTCCCGTAGGCCAAAAAACTGAAACTTTTCCTTGTTTGTAGATTTTGGAAGTTGCTGGTAATTTTCAAATACTAATGGAAGAAAAATATGACCTTAAACTTGCTAATTTAACTTGTCGATAATCTACCAACATCATTATGTATTTACCAACGTCGTAATTCATTAGTAAATTATTATCTTCTTTTGCATTCAGCAAGTATAGTGAGTAAGTTACCAACATCGTGATGAGTTTACTATCTTCCAAATAACTCAGTAACTTCTTTTAAATTTTACAAGTAAGATTTCACAATTGCGAACGTTCAAATAGATTAGTAAGTTACTGATTTCTTTTAAGTTTCGTAACTATGGTAGTAAGTTACCAACATTGCAATCAATTCATTAATGTTCAAATAACTTTGCGTGTCACCCACTTCTTTCATATTCTACTACTACGTTTAGTAAATTGCCATTAACAAGTATGGTTTACTAATCAATAGATTTAAACTCATTTCCATTTTTTTTTCAGAAAATGAAAATCAATACGGTCTTTTCCATAGATTTATCCCCTCATTTTGCTCAGTGATATAGCAAGTATAAAGGTGCATTTGGTTTAACTTTTTCGAGGGCTTTTCCCTTAACTTAATGCAACTCTCATCTAGCATTTGCATAAGAAATAAGAGGAAGGAGGCATCCATGTCTTAAGCCATTCCCTTGACTAATGAGTTGTATATGAACATCATTGAAATCTTTGGCTTCTCACAGGGGAAAAAAAGCTAAACAAATGATGACATGAATTGTTCATTTATTAATCTATCATTCTTATAAGTTATTAACATGTATGGGTTGGGTGCATTAGCATTTACCTTTGGATCTTGAGCACTGCATACATCAACAAGGAACTAAAGGTGAGGTTCATTTATATGAATGCTTAGATTCTTCATCTATATCATTATAGCTTATTTTTAACATTATTTACATTTATTTGTATATATATGTGTGCGCTTCTCTTCATTTCTTTCTGTCATCCTGTCTAGTATAATTCGAGGTGAGTGGAGTCTAGTAGATCTCCAGTACATTGCTATACTGAATGAAGCACGCCATTTGTGTAATGTTTAATCCCTCAAAGTCATGCATGCAACCTCTGTATCATATTCAAATGAATCTATATGGACTCCAATACTTCAAAGACTAGTGGAAGAGGTCGTGGGTGGTGGCGTGAGGAAAGGGATGGAGGGTGTGGTCGGGAACGAAGGGGTTGGGAGAAAGATCGGAGTGGCAGGAACGTCACCCTCTGGGAATGTTGTCCCTGGGAGTGGTGGGAACGTTGCCCCCGAGAGTGGCGGGAAAGTCCCTCCCGAGAGTGTGGGCAAGTTCGGAACGGTCGGCAACTGTAGCAGATTACGAGCTGCTTCACACCGACTCATGCCATCTGATGCGAGGGCCACCACAAGTGCCAGAACGAAGGACGCGAAGAAGAAGCCGCCTATGGAAGCCATTGATGCTGCTTGTTTTGATGATGAAAGTATATGCGAGCTTACAGGATTGATAGGAGCTTCGGACTCACGAAGGAACAAGTGCAAGGTCGATGATGGATGGGGGGAGTGTATAAATGGGAAATGCCATGCATGTGGGCTCCAATTTAGTATGACGGGAGAGCACAGGCTTTTCAGATTATTAAATCTGACATGTGCAAACTATGCTCATTAATTGAACAATTATTTACTAATTACATCATTTGTCCAGCAAAAAAGTTACTAATTATTTAATAATTTTCTGCAGATTTTTCCCTCCATATTGAAATGAAATGAGTCATTTGTCATCGCTTCGAAAGAAAATGAAAAATTGCATTCAATTGACTCATCACTTATGTGAAAAGTAACACATAATTCTTAAATCTATTGCACTTATGTCAATTAAGTCCTCAATTTTTCAAGTGTACCAATGGAGTCCTAAACAGCATTTTGACATTTTGCCAATATAATCCATCCGATAAATTTGGCCGGAAATCATTGACATGAATGCTGGCCGTCCTACGTGGCATGACTAGCGTAAAACGATCAGTGATGTGGACAACTTTTAGCAATTTTTTAATTATTTTTTGTGAATTTCTTTTATATATTATTTTCCTTTTCTATTCTTTATTTTCTTTTCATTCTTTCTCCACTGGTTGCTGGGCCTCAGAGATGGCCAGCACCAGCCATTGCCGAGGCTTGGCGACCAGCAAAGGAAGAAGGAAAAAAATAAAGAAAAAAAGAAAAAGAAAATAAAAAATTGCAAAAATTGTTCACGTTAGTGCCGGTTGTGCTACGTTGGACAGTCGGCTCCACGTTAGCAATTTCCAGCCAAAATTGGCCAGATGGACTACATTGGTAAAATGTCAAAAGATTTAGGACTTAATTGGTACAATTAAAATATTTAAAACTGAATTGGCACAAATGCAATTTAGGACTTTTTGGGTACTTTTCCCCATTACTTACTATATGCTTTTCATTGATAGAGAGCAAGCTTTCATCACTTGGATATTCTCCCACAAAATCGATTAATTAGGTCAAGCACATTTAAATTTTTTAGATTAGAATTCAAGAGAAGTACCAAAAAAGTCTTAAACCTATTACATTGATACCAATTGAATCCTAAACCTTTCAATTGGACGAATTTAGTCTTAAACATTTTCAACAATTTAGGCCAACATGGAATCCCTCGGGATTGCTAAAGAGAAAAAGAGAAAGAAGAGGAAAAGCAGAGCGTATGGGAACAAAAGCTCAGCTTTGTTGACCAGCAATTTCTCCTGTAATTCTACTTTCATACAAGTCTTCAAGTCCTGCAAAGAACAATCCTCTTTGTGGACCATCCGATCGAGGAAATCCCCCCCACCATATTCATTTCAATTTTCCTATGGTCAATGCTTTTTCCTAACACACTAATGTTCAATCCACACAACTTTTAAGAATATGTGGGTAGATTGCCATATAGCCGTGGATAGGAGTCAGTCTTGAGGTGAGTTCGCCATTTGGTTCGTACAATGGTGTTTTATCTCGAGTTCCCTCATCGATTGCTTGGAATTTCAATGCATGTAAACATGTTTTCTGGTCTATCTAATATGTGGCAGAATCTATCTCACATTATATATAACTTGTGTAAACGTAAAGTTTGACTAATCAAGAGCCATGGACTCAAAGTCTCAATCATATATTCTACTGTGGGCTTGGTCCAATCTATCGTGTGATGACAAATAAAAACAAATTCAAGCAAAAATTCCCACAACATCCGGTGTTATGGCAAGCACTTAGACCAAATCATCGGCACGATGTTCTCTCTTCCTAGCCTTCCACTCTCACCCCATGAGGACCACCACCCATTGGATTACCAAAAAACAAAGTCAATGGTTAATCACAAAAATTCCCCCAAACAATCCGTTAATTTCCCACCAATGTTTAGGCTGAAGTCTCTCGCCCCCCACCCAAGTAATTATGATCGATGAAATCGCATGTCGTGGCGGACTTGATTAGAGGCCCAAAAAAGTCTAGCGGGACATGAGATGGACGTCTTGTCTTTCTAGGAAATTCTAGGACATTGCTCAAATTGGTTTTCGATTGTCCAATGAAGAGCCAAAGACAGAGACAACTGAATGTCCTCTCCATCCTCCCTGGATCTCACGAGCAGACATCAAGAATAAATGAAAGGGAAGCGTTGAAATTCTCTTTGTTCGGTGGAAAATGTTCTTTTGGTTCTACTCTTCGTTTCCTGTTTTTGAAATTGGGTTCACGAGCGACTAACAATTAGTTAAAATAGCATCAGTGGGGCTTTGGTATGGTCACTGGATCATAAAACATTCCGTAAAAGTCGTGGAACCTTTTGTGGTGAAATTCATTGGGATAACCGTGCTGGTCGCCCTTCCTTACCCTTTTTTAATCAAAAAAATCCAAAACTTAGAATAGCAAAAGTCTACAATGAACGGAAAGATGTTCCAAAAGTTCACACACACAAAATAACATGGCTTTTATTGGTTACCCTAATTGATAATAACTAACTTGTTCTCCAAATCAACAATACTTTGCTAAAGTTCATTCTCCACTGGCCGTGACCTTTAACTTTCATGCAGTGTCATCGAATTCGTTAAAGCATTTCACACTGATTATGTAACGAACCGATCCGATGAGAACGGGTAGTGGTCGTCAGAGTCAGAGGGCCGGGACAAGGAGTGGCTCTTGGTAGGCTTCTAGAATGGTAAAAGGGGAAGAAATGAACTAAGCTATGCACCGAATAGGGGAAGACAGATTCTAAGATATATACGTGAAAACTGGAATTAATGCACGAAGGTGCCTTTCGACGTAACGGCAAGCTTTGTTTTGGAACTCCAAAGTGAAGCGAGTCCAAGCTAGAGCACTACCAGGATAAATGACCTCCTGGGAGAATGTCTGTCTATACGCCAAAAGACAAAACAGTGAGGCTCGGTATGGGACAATATCTCAAGTGAATTAATCCAGGAATATCACAGATTATTGATTACATTTTCACCAATACTAAAGATATTCACGGTGATTATTAAAAATTCAATGTAAAAACTTGCTAAATCAATTAGAAGACTAATCTTAATAAACATTCTTAATATGAATAGATATTCATTGATTAGCCAGATTTCTCAAACTCTTTTGCGCCGCGTAATCCGAAACATTCCTGATATACGGTTACTCGCACTTGGTCAATGCGAAAAAAGCTGATATAAAACAAGCCCAAAATCTATGACCATCGGTTCACATGATCTGTCTTCATTCATGTGCATCTTTGACATTAGAGGCGCAAGAAAGAGAATTCAATTTTTGGTATTATTCTTCTCTTCTACTTCAGTTTATCATTTAGATTTATTGTTGTTAAGTTTGAACTGACCTAGAATGTCCAGATAAGGGATGGTTGAACCAAACAACCATCTTTTTTTTTTTTTTGAAAACTCAGGGGCACGAGTGCATACACTCGACTATTTGAAAACTCGTGAAACAATATGCAAACTCACAATCCGGTTAAGTTCAGTTCTTTGACCAATGCACGTGGCCTAACACAGAATGTTTGGCATACAGTTTGTGGGATTTGAACAAGTGACTTTCAATTTTTGAGTTGAAAATCCTCTGACACCACAACCAATCACGTCAACCCAAGCAAATTAGTGAATTGATACTTTTCTACTAGTACGAGTCACTATAATTTTACTTGTCTACATTCTATAATCATTCAGGGTGAACGTAGAACTAAAAAATTTCCACCTGGACCAAATTTTATGCTTTACTTGTGATGATTATTGTAACATTTCAATCCACATTCAATGAGAGAGACCCACCTTCAAAGTCATAGACACCCTTTTTAAGCTGTGAGCCATGTGAAATGTGTCGAGTTGAGACAAATGATATCAAAGCAGCACGCTTGCTGAAAGTGTTGAAATCTACTAAAAAGTCCCGTTGTAGCAAACGCGGAAAAGCAAACACAAAACACGAGGATTTACGTGGTTCGATCACAACGTGATCTACGCCCCATACGGGCTTAGGCAAGACAAGATTCCACTATAATCAAAGAGAGTACAGCTGTAAGTCGAAACAACGACAAAAGCTCACGGCTCACAAAACTCTCCGAAACAAAATTCTCTCTCGTATTTCAATGAGAAACAAAGCTCACGGCACAACTCTCTCGCGTCGCGAACTAAATCTCAATTTTCGGCCGCACAAAATATGTCGGGTCGGTGTTGAACCGGACCGAGAACATAAAATTCAAGACATATTTAACAAGTCCGATCCAAAAACTTACAGGTGAAGAAAGATCAAACGTATATAAAGAGCATATAAACTTCATAAGTCAAGTGATGTGGGATATTTCAACAAATTCAAATGCCGTGTGCCATGAAGTGTTACGTCACGGGAGCTAGGCCCTCTAACCCGTTGAAGACAAAATGCTATGCAGTGGGAGTGATTGCTTGAATATGCGGGGCCCATATCTCTGGAATTCTGGCCGCTTGATATGCTCCAGAGCTCAAGAGTAAAATTGATGAGGACCTTAGTATCATAAACACCGCAATTCCATATAAGACACGAGAAATCCTCTTCCTAAGGTCACCGTTTGAATACTGGGGCCGCTCATTGATGTGTGGCTATAATAGTTATATTATTCAACGAATGCGCCAAATCATGACTTGTCCATGACACGTGCATGACAAAGGCTGTGTGGCAAATTTAAGCAGATTGCATGGCCATAGAGATAAAGGAGCATATGAGTTATCTGGACTAGTCAGAGAAATCTTATGCCCCTAAGGTACGGCTTGGTCGATTATAATGTCTTGAAGCTTGACGTTGTTCAAGAATGATTTTAAACCACACTAGAATGTAGTTATCCTGAAGTTCTCCCTTTCGTAGAACTAACTATTAAGCAACCCCCCATAATACCATTTGTCATTGACACAGCCATGTCAAATCTTGATAAAACAAGTGTAGATATATTCTCTCGAAAAAATGCTGAATGTACTGCAATCGATATACAAAACTAGTGTACTAGGCGATGTGGTAAACCATTATTACGTGTTGAATATGTGTACAATGATCGACTTATTTATATACTTTTTTCAATCTGACACATCTCTACGAAACTAAACCAATCTTAATATATTTACATAAAATTACTCGTCATTTTTCCATCTACAATCTCCTGCCGTGCAAGCAGAGACTTAACGCACTCATCGACCCAAGACTTAACCCTATATCTTACTTAGCTTTCCTCTCTTTGTACTTTGGTTCCTTTTGGTCGTTCTCCCTTAATGAAACGCCGTTAATTTCTCTATGAATCTTCGATTCGAACCCACCGAAATTCTCTATGCCATAGTCTACGTCAATGATGTCTCAAGCTACTTGGGTTCACACGTACTTTAGCCAACTTTAACTATATGCTCTACCCACCTCTCCCGGTCTATATAAACCGTCACCCCCTACTATTCTTCATCAAGAAAGATGGCAAAGATGGCCAAGATCACAACCCTTTTCTTGACGTCTCTCCTCCTCCTCTGTGCAATCTCGTCCTGCTTTGCTCGCCCTGAGCCGGTGTTTCCCGATGTTACTCCGGTCGAGACTAAACTTGTGGTGGGTTGTTTACTTACATTGGATTTTGATAACCATATTGGCCCAAGTTTTCAAGTCTCAACCTCTCGAAGTTTTTATCCGAGTTATTGCTATTACGTAGCAGCTTAAACTTTTTAGAGTAATCAGTCATGTGTGCACTTGAACATTTGTGTGGGTAAATTTCGTCTTAGGCATTTGTGTTCTCTATTTTCCAGGGTGTTGAAACGAATGAATTGTTGGATGAGAGCTGCAAAGGTGTTGGTGAAGAAGAATGCTTGGTGAGGAGGACTCTGGCTGCTCACCTCGACTATATCTACACCCAAAAGCATAATCCTTGAACTTAGTTCTCTTTGTTAGTGATGGGAACAAAATGAAAGGATTGAAAATTTTAGTGGGCCTCTACTAACTTTGTTGTGAATTATGGAACATTTACTATGGTGGGAATGTGAAATTTGCTCATCACTGGGAGTGGATTCCGAGTGAGTCCGCTTCGTAGATTTCGTTTCTTTATTCCAAACTTATGTATCTTTTTCCCCACGAATCTCTTTTGAGGTTATTTTATTGAGTGCCCTTGCAATCATGTTTCTTCTTCTTCTATGTTTTGTTGTACAATAAGTTTTCTCGAGTTCTAATAGTGAAAAGGTCAACGAGGAGTGCGTTCAGCCCAACAATATGACTTCAGTTCCCAAAGACAGAAGTTACCAAGCTATAACTTAAGGTATATAGGTAATGAACTGGGATCTTCTGAATTTAGAGAGTGAAGTTACATCTTAAATCCATCACCCTTAAATGATGGACACTTCAGCAACCCCAACCAAGTGGGGATCCCAGATTAACCCACATAAGCAAAAACCACTCCTCCCTTACTTCACTCTGAGACTCTATCTTCATCTGCTTTCCTGCTTCTTCTCCACGCGGCGCTAGCTCCGAGTTAGGATTGAGTAGTGTGCACTGTGCGTGGACAAAGGGACGGGACGAGTGAAGAAAAGTAGGGTTCTTGTCATAGGTTTTATAGGTATGGCCGAACATGAGGAACAGACAAGCGTGCATCTCTTAATGGGAAATTGATAATAATATCACAAATTAGGGACATGATCCTCATCCGATCGGCACGATCTAAACTAAGAAGAAAGTGAAAATGATAAAAAGAACAAACCCATCCTCATGTCACCCCATCCAAATCTAGGAGAGGCTATTGCGGCTGCTGGTGAGGCCGCCTTGTCGGCTGTAGGTGAAGGCGGGCGGACATATGCCCTCGCCAGCCGCGGGCGAGGCTGCCTTGGCCTGCAGTCGGCGAGGTCATGGTGAGGTTGGCCTCGCCTAGTGGCCGGTGAGCTTTGGCGAAGCTCGCCGGCCACGACGGGAAATAAAAAAAAAAAAAAAGAAAAGAAGGAAGGAAAAGAGAAAAGTAAAAAATAAAATAAAATAATAATAAAAGTTTTGAAGATTTGTTAAAATTTGTCCATGTCAGGACCGGTCTGCCACGTAGAATAGCTGGCATTTATGTTAGCAATTTCCATCCAAGATTGGATGATGGACTCAATTAGCAAAACGTGAAAAAGTGTAGGACTAAATTGACATAATTGAAAGGTCTAGGACTGAACTGACACAAATGTAACATGTCAATTTTTTGTCACGGTGGTGACTGGTGGTTGACAAAACCAACTACCATTGTGATGGTCGCCGTGACAATGTTGATAAACAGTAGTTGACCTTCACATTTTAGATTTAAGATTTTTCTTTTGTTAGGTGTGTATTTAAATTTTTTATCGAAGCGTAAACTTATGTTCATAAAAAAATTTAAACACTTTATAGGATAGGTTATAGTCAAATTAATTTAGTATATCCAATATTCTCCTAAATAAATGACATGAGATATAAGAAATTTGAAGTGTTTTTTTTTTCTATTCTTATCATATCATATCTTATCATATACGAATCTTTATCCTGATGTCGAAAAGCAGCCTACGTAGAAAATTGGCGACTTCGGGTTGTCTCCTTGAAATGTATCTTGATTATATAATTTATCTCGTAACAAGTTCTTCCTGCCTTGACAACAAGTCCCCATCTTGTTTTCTCACAATGTAGTTTCATTTACTAACAGGGAATCTCTCAGAATTGCTCAAGAGAAAAGAGAAAGAAGAGGAAAAGCAGTGTGTAATGGAAACAAAAGCAGAACTTTATCGACCAGCAATTTCCCCTGTAATTCTACTGTCATGTGTGTCCTCAAGTCCTGAAAAGAACTAATCCTCTTTGTGGGGCATCCGATCCAAATGATATCCCCACCATGTTCATTTCAATTTTCATAAACTCAATGCTCTTTCCCAATACACTAATGCTCAATCCACACAACTTTTAAGAATATGTGGATAGGAGTCGGTCTTGAGGTGACGTGACCATATGGTTCCTATAATGGTGTTTTATCTCAAGTAATCACTCATTGATTGCTTGGAATTTCAATGCATGTAAACATGTATTCAGGTCTATCTAATATGTGGCAGAATCTTATCTCGCACCAGTAGAAGAGACAATGTAAAAGTCAAATTAAGCGGATTGAAATACCCAAAACGAAAAACAGAAAACAAGGAATACACATACGAGATTTACGAAATTTGGTCGATGGCACATACATGTACTCCTAGAATGGTAGAAAATGTCACTAGAGATAAGTGATACAGCAAAGAGATTATAGCTACTCGGTTTATCAATCAAACAACATTAGCATTTTCCTGGTTCCGATTAATACTCAATAGTCTCATAAACAAGCCCTTTGCAAAGATTTCTGACAGAAACTCTCTCTAATCTCACAAAAGACTCTTACAAACCCTCTTGATGGATCTAACAATTGATCACGAATTAGGTCAAAATACAATCAATAATGAATCCCAATTATGTCCGGGCATCCGTTAGAAGGGGGTTTATGCCCCCGACCAAGCTTGGCGAAGCCAGGACATCGGCCGGATGTGTGGACTTAGATAACCACCTCCAGCTTGGATGCCGGCCATTGCATGGCCCGATGTCCAAGTCTAATCTTTTGGATGGTTGTCACTTGTCCTAAGACTCCTAACTTATTATTTCATGTTGTAGGTCATTCTCATGTATCAATTTGAGTTGGGTCTTGATCAATTGCATTCAAATTCGAGACATTAATCTCAATGTATGGTTTTATTTTTTTTAATTTGAAAGCAATGGGAAGTCTTGAATATACTAAGTTGCTACAGGTCGAACATAACTTGGTGTAAACATAAAGTTGACTAATTACGAGCCATGAACTCAAAGTCTCAACCTCATATTCTAGTATGGCATTGGTCCAATCTAACCCATGTGATCACAATCATATCAAGCAAGAATTTCCCCAACATCAAATGCTATATAGCAAGCGCGTAGACCAAATTATCTACAAACTTTCTAATGGCACAGCTGTTCTCTCCCAAGCCTTCCAATTGGATTACCAAGAACAAAGTCAATGGACAAACAGTTAAATCATAAGTGGCCAAACAAAAATTCCTCAGACCATCCGCCAATTTGCCACCAACAAGTGATTATGATTGATGAAATCACATATCGTGGTGACTTGATTAGAGGCCAGAAAAGTCTATGGAACTTGAGGTGGACGTCATGTTTTTCTAGGAAATTCTAGAACAATGCTAAATTGGTTTTCGGTTGCCCATTGAAGAACAAAAGACAGAGACAACTTGATTTCCGCTCTTACCTCCCTGGTTCTCACAAGCAGACAGGAAGAATAAATGAAGGGGACGCGTAGAAAATTCTCTTTGTTTCTTGTTTTCGAAATTCGGTCCACATGTAACGAACAATTGATTAAATTAGCGATAGTGGGGCCACGGTGACTGGCTCACAAACCTACAAGTTGGTCTGAATAGTTATGGTTTAAATAGAACATTTCACCGCATTTGTGAGACTCTTATTGTGATATCCCCAGGGGCAGTTGCGCGGGTCGCCCCTTCTCATTCTTTCTTTTTTTATTGTTAGGAAAAATATAAAACTCAGAACCGCAAAAGTCAAAAATGAAAGGAAAGATGATCCGGAAGTTCACACATACCGACATGGCTTTTGTTGGTTTTACCATTTGACAAGAGCATAAGTTCATTGTATGATACATATGAAGATTACTGATCATAATAACTAACTCGTTCTCCAAATAAACAATACTTTACTAAAGTTTATTCTCCACTGGCCGTGACCATGACATAAATTCATATAGTATCAGTGATTTTGTTAAAGCGTTTCAGACTTATATCTAATAACATGTTGACCAATACTAAAGACTGAATGCAAAGACTTTCTAAATCAATTAGAAGACAAATCTTAGTAAATTAATATATATATTCTTTTGTTTGCCAGCGTTTCTCTAACTCTTTTACGCCGCAGAATCCGAAACATTCCCATGATGCGGTTACTCGCCCTTGGTCAATGCAAAAAGGAACAAGCTGATGCAAAACAAGCCTAAAATCTATGACCATCGGTTCACATGATCTTCCTTCATTCATATGCTTCTTTGACATTAGAGGCTGAAGAAAGGGAATGTCCGGATAAGTCATGGCCTACCCAAGGAAACTTCTTCTTTTTTTTTCTTTTCGATAACTCAGGGACACGGGTGCATAGGTGCGGCTATCTGAAAGCCCGTGAACACCCCGCAAATCCCCTAAACTGGTTAAGTTCAGAATTCTTACTTGTGCAAGTGGTCATGACCCGGAACAGTTGGCATACGATTGTCGGATTTGAACAAGTGACTTCCAATTTATGAGTTAGAAATTCTTGAACACTCTAACCAAGTATACAAATCCTAGCACATTAGTAAGATAGTACATTTACGTTAGTAGGAGACACTATATTTTTACTTGTCTGCATTTTATCATCATTCAGGGTGAATATAGAACTCAAAAATTTGTATCATTTTTTAGCCTGACCAAATTTTATTCTTCGGTAGTGATGATTATAATAATCTTTCAATCCCACATTCAATGAGAGACGCCCACCTTCGAAGTCATTGTTTAAGTACTCTTTTTAAGGTATGGCCCATGTAAAATATGTCGAGTCGAAACAAATAGTACCAAAGCAGCACACTTGCTGAAAGTGTTGAATGTAAGAATTTCCTAATGTGGGCTTCATTAATTGAAATTAACTGAATTAGTTTGGTATAATAAAGGTAAGATATATGGGTTTTTAATAAGTCTAATATGGGGCTAGCTGATGTGGGCTGAGTACGGTTCAGCCCGTAATGAGAGGGCCCGTGATTGAAAACACTATAAATAGTGCTCAAGTCCTTTCCCTAACCTGATGATGCACAATCTGACTCACATACGGATCTAGAGAGAACTTTCTTCTAGTAAGTGGCAATCTCATT